GGGGCTGGAGCCGACACTGGAGCGAGCTCTGGGGCTGGAGCCGACACTGGAGCGAGCTCTGGGGCTGGAGCCGACACTGGAGCGAGCTCTGGGGCTGGGATGAGGGCGGAGAACAGTCCCTTTCTCCTCATCCTCCTCTTTTGGTTAGAGGTGAATTGGGCGGACGGTGGGCTTGCCACAGGAACGGCCGACGGGCTGGAGAGAGCCGCGGCCGGCGGGCTTGACATCAGAACGGAACTCCCAGGAATACTCGACAAAGGGGAGATCCAGACGAGCTAGGGCGGTGAACCGAGCGGCTGCTTCCATTGCCGCGGGAAAAAATGGGAAAACAAAAAACTATTCAAAAAACAGAAATCAAACACGGGGAAAAAAGGCGCCGCTTACTTTCAGTTTGGGTCAGCTGTTCTGTCACGATACACTCGGGGAAGGAACGAGGAGAGGCAGGAGAATACGTATACAAAGGTATACACACACAGGAACTCAGGGATGACATTTAACAGCTGACACAGACTCAGGGAAACACAGGGTTTAAATACAAGGGCAAATTAGATAATTAATCAAACACAGCTGGAACCAAATAAACATAATGGGGACAGGAACAGGAAGACCAGAAATGGACAAAAGAGGGAAGGAAACAAGACTGATAACCATATAAAAGAGAAACATGCCAAATAATTGTTGTCTATTTGTATTCAGATTCTATATGGTGCAACAATATGCTGCCAAAAGACCATTAGTTTTTGAGTGCGTTGCTTCAAATATGAGGAATGGAGAATCAGATTCCAGAGCTGCAGAGGATGGAAGATTTTCAGTGACAGGGCTCAAGAATAAGGATGGCCTGTTGGCCCAAGTGAAGTGGTAACACTTTACAATATGGTTCCATAGTTCACATTAATTAATGCATCAACAAACATGAATTATGAGCAATGAGCAATGAGCAATATATTTGTTACAGTATTTATTTATCTTTCTTAACGTTAGTTAATAAAATACGATTATTCAGTTGTTAGTTTATGTTAGTTCAAGTCCATTAAATTAATGTTAACAAATGGAACCTTATTATAAATTGATACCAGTTCTGCTCACCAGGGTAATAGCTGGTTAACACAGATGAAGTTTTGTCAAAAAAGCAAAAATGCCATTGTTTTTCATTGTTTTATTTATAGATTTACATTATAGTGGGGTAATTTCAAGCTTATTCTACATTTTTTTTTCCTAAGGAAAATAAATCTCTGTATAGCCGTATAGAAAACAGCTGATGGAAGATTCTTTAAAGGGGTCATATGATGCGATTTCAAATTTTCCTTTCTCTTTGGAGTGTTACAAGCTGTTCATGAATAGATAAGATCCCTAAAGTTGCAAAGACTAAAGTCTCAAACCCAAAGAGATATTCTTTATGAAAGTTAAGACTGGTCCACGCCCTCCTAAAACGCCTCGTTTAAACATGCCCCTACATGTCTACGTCATGATGTGGGAAGATTTGCATAACGCCGCCCAAATGTTCACGCAAAGAAAGAAGACGTAACTTTTATACTTGCTGTAGTATTGTTGCTGCCGCCACCATGTTCGGCGCGATACAACGCAACGCGTAAAAAGACAGTGTAAGTCATTATAATCCGTAATTATGTCCCCACTGGATGCAACAAATGCCTCGTTTATAATGGGTTTTAATGTTTTTGTCTCGTCGCAGTGGGAGACGGCATCACAGTATGGTAAGGGGCGTAACATTTCCGTCACACGCTTGAGGTATTCGGCCAATCACAACGCACTGGATAGCTGGCCAATCAGAGCACACCTCGCTTTTCAGACCGATGAGCTTTGTAAAAACGACACGTTTCAGAAAGGCGGGGCATAGAGAAGCAACAATAATGTACAGTATGTGGAAAATAGTGTGTTTTTTTAACCTTAAACCGCATAAACACATTTCATTACAGCAAATACACAAAATAATGTTCTTTTTAGCAACATCATATGACCCTTTTAAAATGTCTTCTTTTGTGTTACACAGAACAAACAGCAGCATACGGGTGTTCAATTACATGAAAATCTGTAAATAGTGTTAGAATTTTAGAAGTAAAACTATGTGCACATGTCGCATTACCTGGCTCAGGCATGGTCCAAGCCTCGCATTTGAAGGGAGCGCTAGGGGTCGAGGCATCACCCAGTCCAGTCAAATTAGCTCCATAGACCCTAAACTGATACACTGACCCAGCTGTCAGACCTCCAACCTTCAGAAGGAAAAGTTCATTTTAGTAATTATGTTATGCATATTATAAATCGATCAATATAAGCTGATAACAATAACATGCACATGATGCTGCAATACATGGCCACCTTGTGCAGTGTTTCCTTAATGGGTGGGACGTTGACCTCCTTCCATGTCTTCTTGGCCACATTGCATTTGTCAATGTAATAATCAGTGACGTCTGCTCCTCCAGAATGGAGGGGCTGCTTCCAGTTGAGCACCATGGATTCCCCATCACAGTAGAGAAGAGAGATATCATAAGGGAAAGAGGGCAGCTCTGTGGAGAAGACAGATTGCTTTAGCTGGTCCTCCCCATTACTCAATGTCTTGGACTGAGAGGAACATGCGCTGGCATGCAAGTCTCATCTCTGGCTTATAATATGCACATTTCTGAGAGAAGAGTTGTGTCTGGAGGTGTAATATAGGAGGGTGGAATGCATTGGAGTAAGCCTCAAAATATGGCAGTGTTTTTTAACAAGACAATTTAGGGCTTTATTCTAAAACAGCTGCTTTGCTATCTACTGCCTACATAAACAACTGCCTGTTTTTTTTTTTTTTAACGGTAATACTTTTATCCAGCAAAGATGCATTAAACTAATCAAAAGTGATATTTGTATTTCAAATAAATGCTGTTCTTTTGAACTTTTAGAAAAAAAAACTATATCACCGTTTCCACATAAATATTAAGCAGCGCAACTATTTCCAGCATTGATAATAATAAGAAATATTTTTGAGCACCAAATTAGAATAATTTCTGAAGGATCATGTGACAGCAAAGACAAGGGTAATGGCTGCTTAAAATTCAGCTTTACCATCACAGGAATAAATTATATTTTAAAATATGTGGAAAAACATGAAACCAGCTATTTTAAATTGTAATAACACTTGTTTTACTGTATTATTTATCAACTAAATGCAGACAAAAGATAATTCCTTTGGAAACAGATCCCAAAATTTTGAATAGTAGTGTAAATAGAGAGTAAATGAATAAAAAAGTGGATTATTTTTAATGAGACTGAACAACTTATTTTAATTAGACTGAAATATAATTTTGATAATTAAATAATATTATTTCTAACCTATTTTTTAGCCAAGAATACCACGCTACCTTGCAATTGACCAAAATGTCTTTAAAAGTAACATGTCATAAGTAAAGCTATAATGCTAATGGTATAATGAAAATGGTTGTGGTAGTTGCCCATACAAAACTTGCTGTCAAAATGCTAGGGTGATATGAGAGAATATTAGTGCAGTTGCTAAGGTGTTCGGAGTTGTTGCTAGGTGCCTACTGGCGCAGGTCAAAAGAGCCCACCTTTAGGTCCCTATGATATTCTGGCCCCTGATATGACTTGGGTCAATGTAAGGCTAATTTTAAGGCTATATATTTTTTTGTGTGTGTGTTTTTGACTGGCAAATACAGTAAATGAAACACTCTCCTCAAGCCACACAAGTTATCAATAATGTCCATAGCAAAAAAATGGTATGAGATTAGTTATACCATATCAGAGCTGCTTGATTAAAACATCTAATTCCATCTAATAAATCAATTGAAAGAAATCATCTAATTTAATTTCCTAACCATTGTTTTGACTGGCTCTGTACTACAGACAGGCCTGCACTCTTAGGACAAAAAGTTTCATCTTTTGAAGTCTCCGAGTATGGAATTGTCCCCCAGAGTCCAAACAGAGGATTGCTGTTAGCTAAAGTTAAAGACTTACAAAGCAAACAGCTCTACAAATCATCCAGATCTGTAAAAATTTAATGGTCTGCTGGCTGAAATCATTTCTACTTGTTGACTAAGTGTCCCACAGAGACACGGAAAGAAAAAACATTCTGACTCATTTGGTATAAATTATTAAACCAATTTAGCAAATGGTATGAGATTTGAGGGAAATATAAAGATTTTTAAAAACCTCTTCCATGTAACTGTGTACTAGGGGTGGGTGGTTAGTTTAGGCTTCATTAGGTTTATTAATTTTATGTTAAATCTGCTATTTTAGTAAACACACCTACTTCTAACAAAAAAATATAAAAATATTGAAAGATCTGCTTCTGGGGACTTGCCATTGGCTGTTGTATTTGAATTAATAATTTAATAAGGTTTGGGCACTGTTTTGGGGATGTTTTTAACTGTAATTTATAAATATAATTATGTTTCAAGTTTGACTTGTGTAATACGCGAGTTAAATATGAATTTGGTTGAAGGATAATGGGTTATTTAAAGTTACCGTCATAGAGATTAGTGTTCATGTGAGCTAAATGCTGCTGAATAGCAAATGCTTTAATTTTTAAATACCTGAATGGCTAAATCCACATAAATAATGTACTTTGTTCTCAATAATTTGCTGAATGTCCATACAAAAGATGAATAAGGCAAACTTTTGAAAGCAATGTAGCTCCTAGTTCATCAATATAGTCAGTACAGCTCCAATATCAATATAGGATCAATATCAATATAGCTCCTAGTTCAACAATATAGTGACAAAATAGCATTTTTATTTCAACACACAAGCTGTTCGACCAGTTTTTGCTTCAGTTTTTGATGCCTGGGAATGAGAACAGCTTGCTCACCTAGAGTGAGCCCATACATGGGCTGTGTTTCCCAAAGCCATTGGCACCTCTACAATCTATATAGGCTTACAATGCCTTTGAGAAACACAGCGCTGGTCTACTTGTGATTGGCTTAGGTCCGGTTCTCAGATCTTTCACACGAGAATCAATGTAATATCGAATAAGGTTTAATGAGTTCCTTTGGAGGATGACACCAGGTTAAATCGGCAACCCCTTTATTTTTATTTTATTTTAAAGTTCATTAAATGTTACAAATCTTTTCAAAAGTATCTCAGACCTGAGTTTCAGATGCTTTCGTATCCTATTCGTGGGAAGCGCCTCAAATCATTTCACCCAGACTAAGCACATACCTAGTCTGCTTATGGGGCTTGTGATTGGCAGAGGTCCAGTCCTTAGATCCTTTCACACAAGAATCAATGTAATATCCAATCAGGTTATTGGGATCCTTTGGAGGCGCCCACTGGATTAGAACAGAAGTGTCTGTCTCTCTGGTTGCAACGACTTGTCCAGGAGCCGAGGGCACACCTGAATGAACACAGAACTTCATTTCAGGGGTGATTTCACCAACCAGTCCAATCAATCCCTTGACGACCTATCATGCATGAATTAGTTCCACTACAGAAAGGCAGATAAAAAATCATTACTGCCTTAATGACAACATCAAAGATGTTGAGCAAACTTCAAAGATCTATATGCCATTTCATATGCATTTCAACATGTCAATATCTTAAGTGAATACATCAGAGGCACTGTGCCCTCTGTGACATGCTTTTTTAGGGCATTTACCCTTCAACTGCAGGGTTGTTACAGTACTGGAGGGCTCGGAAGGCTCGCTGACGCCGTACATGTTAGCAGACACCACACGGAACTGATAATCCTTTCCCTCTAGCAGGTCGAAGACGGCATAGCGAGGAGATCTGATGGGTACTTTAGTGTTCACTCTCTGCCAGGATCCAGCTCTCACTTGAAGCTATAAAAGTCCAGAATGAATAAAAACACACTATTACACAAATATGTATTGTGTGAGAAATGATAATGATTACTTTAACCTCTCACGATAAAAAAACAACAACAACAACAGTTGTCTCTTCTAGACAGTAATTAAATAAAGATTAAATAGAGCCAAAGATTGACAATGGATTTGTCACAATGCCAAAGTCTGCAATCACAACACATTTATTTTTGTTTTTAATTTTAGAAGGAACAACTGAGACAACTGAGAACTGAAATAACTGAGAACTCTGTTAATTTAATATTGGGACAGCAGATTAAATAAAATGACAGAAAATTAACTTTGTTTGCATAATTACATAACCTTTTACAGCTATTCATACTCAAAGTCAGGAAACATGTAGCATGTAGCATTTGAGACAATTAGACAGCCAAAAACAAAGACAAAAATACATTTGCAACCCTTAGGTGCAGCACACAACTTTGCCTGACTATTATTATTACATTAATAATGTATGTAATGTAATTTTTTAGTTATTGTCAAAAATCAGGAATAGTACTACAATTAAAAATGGGTCTTAGATATCTGTTACTGCTTCTAACAAAAAAATATAAAAATATTGAAAGATCTGCTTCTGGGGACTTGCCATTGGCTGTTGTATTTGAATTACTAATTTAATAAGGTTTGGGCACTGTTTTGGGGATGTTTTTAACTGTAATTTATAAATATAATTATGTTTCAAGTTTGACTTGTGTAATACGCGAGTTAAATATGAATTTGGTTGAAGGATAATGGGTTATTTAAAGTTACCGTCATAGAGATTAGTGTTCATGTGAGCTAAATGCTGCTGAATAGCAAATGCTTTAATTTTTAAATACCTGAATGGCTAAATCCACATAAATAATGTACTTTGTTCTCAATAATTTGCTGAATGTCCATACAAAAGATGAATAAGGCAAACTTTTGAAAGCAATGTAGCTCCTAGTTCATCAATATAGTCAGTACAGCTCCAATATCAATATAGGATCAATATCAATATAGCTCCTAGTTCAACAATATAGTGACAAAATAGCATTTTTATTTCAACACACAAGCTGTTCGACCAGTTTTTGCTTCAGTTTTTGATGCCTGGGAATGAGAACAGCTTGCTCACCTAGAGTGAGCCCATACATGGGCTGTGTTTCCCAAAGCCATTGGCACCTCTACAATCTATATAGGCTTACAATGCCTTTGAGAAACACAGCGCTGGTCCACTTGTGATTGGCTTAGGTCCGGTTCTCAGATCTTTCACACGAGAATCAATGTAATATCGAATAAGGTTTAATGAGTTCCTTTGGAGGATGACACCAGGTTAAATCGGCAACCCCTTTATTTTTATTTTATTTTAAAGTTCATTAAATGTTACAAATCTTTTCAAAAGTATCTCAGACCTGAGTTTCAGATGCTTTCGTATCCTATTCGTGGGAAGCGCCTCAAATCATTTCACCCAGACTAAGCACATACCTAGTCTGCTTATGGGGCTTGTGATTGGCAGAGGTCCAGTCCTTAGATCCTTTCACACAAGAATCAATGTAATATCCAATCAGGTTATTGGGATCCTTTGGAGGCGCCCACTGGATTAGAACAGAAGTGTCTGTCTCTCTGGTTGCAACGACTTGTCCAGGAGCCGAGGGCACACCTGAATGAACACAGAACTTCATTTCAGGGGTGATTTCACCAACCAGTCCAATCAATCCCTTGACGACCTATCATGCATGAATTAGTTCCACTACAGAAAGGCAGATAAAAAATCATTACTGCCTTAATGACAACATCAAAGATGTTGAGCAAACTTCAAAGATCTATATGCCATTTCATATGCATTTCAACATGTCAATATCTTAAGTGAATACATCAGAGGCACTGTGCCCTCTGTGACATGCTTTTTTAGGGCATTTACCCTTCAACTGCAGGGTTGTTACAGTACTGGAGGGCTCGGAAGGCTCGCTGACGCCGTACATGTTAGCAGACACCACACGGAACTGATAATCCTTTCCCTCTAGCAGGTCGAAGACGGCATAGCGAGGAGATCTGATGGGTACTTTAGTGTTCACTCTCTGCCAGGATCCAGCTCTCACTTGAAGCTATAAAAGTCCAGAATGAATAAAAACACACTATTACACAAATATGTATTGTGTGAGAAATGATAATGATTACTTTAACCTCTCACGATAAAAAAACAACAACAACAACAGTTGTCTCTTCTAGACAGTAATTAAATAAAGATTAAATAGAGCCAAAGATTGACAATGGATTTGTCACAATGCCAAAGTCTGCAATCACAACACATTTATTTTTGTTTTTAATTTTAGAAGGAACAACTGAGACAACTGAGAACTGAAATAACTGAGAACTCTGTTAATTTAATATTGGGACAGCAGATTAAATAAAATGACAGAAAATTAACTTTGTTTGCATAATTACATAACCTTTTACAGCTATTCATACTCAAAGTCAGGAAACATGTAGCATGTAGCATTTGAGACAATTAGACAGCCCAAAACAAAGACAAAAATACATTTGCAACCCTTAGGTGCAGCACACAACTTTGCCTGACTATTATTATTACATTAATAATGTATGTAATGTAATTTTTTAGTTATTGTCAAAAATCAGGAATAGTACTACAATTAAAAATGGGTCTTAGATATCTGTTACTGGAAAACAACAAAAACAAAACGTGGACATTGTTTTAAAGTATATAATTAAAACAACAATATCAGTCAATATCTATCTGTGAGCTACGAAAGATTAACTTCTGAGAAATAAATTGTTCCTGTGGGCTGTGCTGCATCATTTAATGCAAAACAAAAACTGATTTAAAAATATTAGTATTAAATATTCTTACACCGTAGGCGCTTCTTAATGGATTAAAGGTGACATAAGAAGAAAAGTAAACTGCTGAAATAAAGTTTGTGACTATTCGGCTGGGTTAACGTCTGGCAGTGAGCTGAAACTAACCTTCTCAATGTAATACCACATGGGGGCTTTGCTATGGTAGACTGGAGGGACCCAACTGAGCACAACATATGTTCGGTCCGTCTCTGAAGCACAGACTTTAGAGGGAGGTCCCGGAGCTTTTCCCTCGGCTGCAGGCAAAGCACATTAAACAGAATTACTGTTTCTACTCTGAACACATACACACACCAATACACACACACACACACACACACTAGGAAATTTCCTAGCAATTTCACTAGCTTTAAAAGCAACTTTAATATTATGGACTGATATGCGAATATCATCTTTGCCACCGCCACCACCGCTGCTATAAATATACACACACATACACATATGCATGCACATGGGTGACACTGGTTGATGTGTTCATTTCAACTTGAAAAAGAACCACAGATGTTTGTACGTTCCCTTCCTGATGGAATCCTCATCAAAAACTAATCAGTACCTCTCAGAAGAGAACCAATTATGGGCTAGATAATTATTGCTAATTTTGAAAGCAAAAAGGGGGGAAAGCACTAAGTGACAGCTGCTGTCATCTAATACATAATACAAATTCAAAGACACACAAACTTGACTGAGTGACAAAAGGAAGAATATTTTAAGGCAGCTCCACCCCACAATATTTAAGGATGCAGTTAAAGTGGTTTACAGATCACTTTTGAGTTCTTGAAGGTCACTGAAGGACAGGAACATCTCCGTTGGATTGTCCAACAATAGAGAGCAACTGGGCCGAAGCCGTATACATGAAATGGTCACTATAATATAGTAGCCATTAATGATCATGTGATCATGCAATTAAATAATATGTTTAAAAAATATATATAATTTTATAGAGACTGCATCAACAAAAAGTGATTTATACATGAAATATGTGAACTATGAAATATTTTAGAACTTGCCATAACTTGCCCTTTTTTAATTATTATTATAGAAATGTCCATGTCTTTTCCATTATTTTTTAAAGATTTCATAAATTTCCATGGCTACCTTCAAGGTCATCATAGTAAGTCACAACGTCAAGTCTTCCACCAAGTTTTGTGGCTGTTGAAACAAACAGCAGCACATAAAGGGCATTATTAACACGTACAGAGTTGATCACTAAATGTAACTTCATGAGGACTTAGTTTTGCTCACCATGAAGTCTCTCAAACTCTGTAGGGTCCAGAGCGGCAATGGGCTCAGACATTCTGGAGGGTCTGCCAATGCCGCGAGAGTTGACGGCACGCACGCGAAAGTAATAAGAGTGTCCCTCAAACAGGCCCTGCACAGGATACTTGCAGATCTTTACAGGCGAGTCGTTACACTGCACCCAGTTCTCTGTTCCAACTTCACATCTGCCCAATAAGAGTGAAAGAATAAACATGAACAACAATGAATATGGACAGTAATCAAGACTATCCTATCATTAGTTCCACGCTGCCGTGAAAGAGGGAAAATTACAGCCCACTTTTACGTTCCGAGGAGATGATATGAGCTAAGGAGCATTACATACGTAATTGCAGATCCATGTATCACTTAACAGTCTGATTACCGTCCGACGAGAGTAAATTTCAGCTCGATACTAATGCAGCTCAAAGTGACAGGGAACAAAATAATCACCGCATCTATTAGCATATGCAAAGCATGTTTCTGGCAAAAATATCTGTTGGTAAGCAATTTTCTAAGTAGCCTATATCGGAAGGGAAAACAAACTGTCTTTTGTATTATACTTTTGTCAGAGTATTACAGAGTTAAAACTGTAGACATTGTGCACATGTTGTCTTTGTCATCAAAAGTTGAATTTATTTTAAAGAATCATAGCACAAGCACACTTCTCAAGCAACTTCCATAAGAGGAAGTTTAAGTTTTAAACAACAAAACACAGAATACAGGGGGAAAGCAACTGAGAACTGACACTATCCTTTTTGGGCCCACAAACAGCAATTTGCAGGGCCCTATGATTTGCACGATACGGAATCCAGTCATAAAAACAGAATAAATAAAACGGACACATTTTGGATGTATACACCAAAAGTAGGTCAGTACACCTAAATCAAAACACGCTATGGACCAGTGTCTGTGAATATTAAGCTGCAAAAATACCATTTAAATATGAATCCTGCATGTTCTGCGTGTCTCTGTGAATGAATGGCGCAAACGCATGGTTTCGTTTACTACTGAAGCGCGCGTCACGCTCACTGTGTTTTCAGCCTCTGCAGCCTCATTTTATGAGTACATGAACACATAAACAATCTTTAGAACTGCTCTGGAAGTCACTTCATGAGCAAAAAATTACCGTAAAATTACAGTTTTAAGTAAAACTATCGTCATGTCATATATAAACATAAACCTAAAGGTAAAACAACCCGTCAAAATAAAAGTTTGGTTTAGCTTGAAGAAACAGTGGCAGAAATATTACTTGATGTAATGATAGTACTACCACTAATAAGCATTATTAAAACATTATTTTTAAAGGAATATTTACCAGAATATATCTAGCAGAAAAATGTAAATACACAACACCTTATTTCTGAAAAAATAAAAACTAATGAACAAAATCATTTTTTTTTTTTTTATAAAATCAATTAATTAGAGATGCTTTTGATTATTAAATTTATTAAAACTATTCAAATAGAATTGAGAAAACGAATGGAAAACAGAATTTGGTAAAAAATAAAACTGAATTAAAAAAAAAATTAGCGCCTTAAAAATGTCATTTTTGTTAAAGGGGTCATATGATGTGATTTAAAGTTTTCCTTTCTCTTTGGAGTGTTACAAGCGTACTTTGAATGAATTGCTGTTTAATATTGTAAGTTTCATAATGTCAATTAATTAAACTTTTTGTTTTTGATGAATAAAATTTTATTTAACCATTAAAACAGAGTCTAGAAAAATTAAATTGGAAAAAATGGAATCCAGAAAAATTAAAATGGAAAAAAACGGAATTTGGGAAAAAAATAAAATGGATTTCATAGGGCCCTAAATTTGCGACAAGGCAAATCTAGGTGGGGCCGATCAAACATATGTTCTATATCAACCGGCCCTTACTATAAACAGCAATTTCAAAGCAGTAATTTACTGGTGATGTTACAACAACTCATCCTGGGAAATAGAAAAAAATAGAGCCCAATATTTCAACATCCAACATCCCTTTCAATTTACCGACTAGTTTCTGTGGGTGGCTAGTTAATTGCATCGGGCACATTATGATAACATTTGTCAATCAGGTAGATTCTAGAAAGAAGGCCTATTTGCAATGAAAAGACTGACAGTGACTTTATTTAAATACTCTCAGTAGGTTGTTGTAGCGCATTTAGCACCTGATTAAAATGAATTGCAGGTGGTATGTGGATAAGATGAACGATTCTGCAATGAAACACCGGACGCTAAGCTAGTGCAAGTTTCATTCACATAGTGAATTCCTATTGTGCAGTTCAAAAAAGTACTGTGACAAACCAGTTCATTAAAAGCTACTGAAAAACTGGCTCAGAAATGTCAATTCCAGCAAACAGTCGAGCAGATATTTGACATTTTCTTATCTAATGCAATGACATTTTAAAGTGTCCAAATACTTTTTGAGGCCACTGTATCAAACAACTTGCATAAATGTATTCCATAAAATAACTCCCACTGGGAAGACACCTTAGTCAGCGCAGTCACCTGTCAACAAAGTATCCAACGATGGGGCCTTCAGTGGTGGTGTTAGGAGGTTTCCAGGACACAATGACATAATCTCTATTTGCATCATGGATCTTAATGTCCATTGGGGCTCCGGGAGCTTGAGGAACTGGAGGTGGACCATCTGCCAAGACAAAACATGATGACTCCTACACACCACTGATTCGCTGAGGGAATCACTCCAAAACAGATGTATGCGCTATATGAGATGAATTATGCTAATCCAGACCTTTAAAGGCCAGCAAAAGAATCACATAAGATTTTCAACAAGCCTTGGAGAAGTTCATAACTCTTTACCATCAACGAAGACGTAAGCCCTGTGGACCGCATCGCCTCCCTTGGTGACCATGCGGAGGGTGTAAAGACCCTCATCATCCTTAGCGAGCTGAGTAAGCGTGAGCTTGGCAACACCTCCGCCAGACTCCATTTTCACCCACCTCGACTCTTTCAGGAGGTGCTCTGGAGGGCCCAAAACACAACATGGGGTATCAGAGGAGAGAAAATGAAACTATTTCTTTTGCAGAATAGACTGCAGACCTGAAAAGTGTAATCTGATGATTCTGGAAATGAGATTGGAGTGAAATGAGTCATAAACTACAAATGGACATAAAAAGTCACTTTGTTCTGTACACGACTCGACTGCAAAACAATCCCCTACAGAATAACCAGAAAATTTATATATGACCAGGGGTGAATGCCACAATAAATAAATGCAGCTGTCATTAGGACAGTTACTGTGTGTAGCTATATGAAATACAGTATTTAGATCAAAATATATTCATAATTTAATATAAAAATCATTATTTATGCATTTGTAGATGTAAAATACACTAAAAGTGTAGAACAAATATTAATATAACAATAAATAGCAATAATTTATTTTATTAAAATCAGTGCTGGGCAACGATTAATCGTGATTAATCACATCCAAAATAAAAGTTTTGTGTACATAACAAATTTTTGCACCAAAAATAATAGCGAAAAAAGGACTGTTTTCAATCCCACATTATCTGTTGATTAGCCAACAGACGTCCCGCCCCAAATGCAATAAGGAGTGGACGTTTCTTCCTCTTTGCACCATATGAAGTCGACACAAAAAGAAAGTATATAGTGACTTTGTAAAGAAAGGATTCATAGTCTAAATTTGGTTCTCGCTTCGATATGCTTAGATTCCAGAAAACAGGAGAAAAAGTCTTACTCTTCACAATGATGGAGGCCTGGGTGGAGGTGTACTGGGTGTGTGTACTCTGTATATTTAATATGTATGTATAAATACATACACATGCATGTATATATTTAAGAAAAATATGTTATGTTTACATATTAAATATATTTATATGTAATATAAATTATATGAATATAAACATATACATGTAAATATTTTCAAAATATATACTGTATGTGTGTGTCTTTATATATACATAATAAATACACACACACATATTATATAAACAAAAACTTTTATGTTTTTAAATGTGATCAGTCATGATTATTTGTTGCCCAGCACTAATTAAAATATTTTAATACAAAAAAAAATTCCACTTTTGTGAACTTCCATTAAATTTTGAGTGATGACAGATACAAATCATTAAATAAGAGCAGTGTCCCAAGACAATGAATGATCGTGAAACTACTCTAATGGCTAAATGAAAAGCATTTTAAATTAATTGCAGTATTTACATTGTTGCATATAGGCAAAATGCGTAATTTCTGCATCATTAGCTGCATAAAATGGAATTGCAATCTGTTTGTTTGAGCAGCCGTCATAAAACACTAGCTTAAGCAATAATATGCATTTGGGGCGGGATGTTTGTTGGCTAATCAACAGATAATGTGGGATTGAAAACAGTCCTTTTTTCCCCTATTCTTTTTGGTGCAAAAAATTACTGTTTATTTCATATTCAGCAGCTACTGTAGATCTTGTAGTTATATGTGATCAATGAATTCTTAGGGGTTGGTCACACTACACTTTTCATCCCTTTGACTTTCATTCACACATACAAGATGTGAAGATGATTCACATTTCTCTGCGTTCCAAAGTTCAAGATGATGGTGAACTGCGACCTGTAAATTCGTATCATGTGAAACCATGTGACCAATAGAAGATCGATATGTCACAGCATGACCTCGTAGCTGAATTAAAAGAACATACATTTATTATTGTTGGTTATTTGTTGAATTTAGGTTTTTAAAAAGATGCTGCAGAGCGTGACGTCATATCACGACCGTTGCAGTCCAGTGTCCTGTGTCCTTTATTAACAATAACCGCGCATGCATACAAAAACGTTTTTGTGTTAGCCTTTGTTGGACACTTCCTACCATCTCTGTACCACATCGCCTCAGGCTGCAGGTTAGCCAGGTTGGGGTTAATAGTCATCTTGCAGGTCAAAGTGGCCTTATCGCCTTCTTTTCCAAAGGTCACGTCAAACGTCTCAGTGAAGGTGATGTTAATCTTCGTATACTTGATCTCAGGTAAAACAGCATCTGAGAAACAGCAAAACAGTTCCTGTCTTTCATGACTTGTTTTTAAATCATACCAGATATTCTAATGAATAGAGGCCTTCACACTTACACTGGTAAGGCATCCAGGAATAAGGAGTGGACGTTTCTTCCTCTTTGCACCCTATGAAGTCGACACAAAAAGAAAGTATATAGTGACTTTGTAAAGAAAAGTCTAAATTTGGTTCTCGCTTCGATATGCTTAGATTCCAGAAAACAGGAGAAAAAGTCTTACTCTTCACAATGATGGAGGCCTGGGTGGAGGCCTGTCCATGAGTGTTTGAGGCTACAGCCGTGTACATCGCAGTGTCATCAGTTGCACACCTACAAAAGCACGCATAACTCATTCACAGGTGTCTACAACTTCAATCAATACACGGCTGGATCGCAACACCGCTTCACCCACTCCACTAATTAATCAGTCAATAAATAATCAGCATGATTGCTGTTTGATTGGATATATGCCACAGTCATTTCCTAATTGACTTTTGGAAAGCACATAAAGTGCTTCCCCCATCGTGATGGATAAATTGGCAGTTAACTAATGCTCTAATGTCAAGAGGATAATTGCTCCAAACTAAATGCTAATGTAGACCAGCGCCTGTTTTCGGAACGTGTTCAACACGGGAGGCTCTGAGGCTTGAATAGCAAACACGAGACGCAAAGGACAAGAAAATGAGAAGACTGTAATGTGACCTTCAGAGTGACCATACTATATTAGAGCCCTGGCCCCTACGGTCTTTAGGAGAATGGCTGTGTGTCAAAAAGTGAAAGGTTTGGCCATTTTAGATGAAATGTGGAACGCCAAGCTTCACCTGTGAGGTCTGGGCACTGAATGCAAAAAGCCGTCAGGAATGTGACATAAGGGCCAGGGTGAGTTTTTGTGGGACTGACAGGGTGACAGCAGTGAAAGTCATCTCTCTGTAAGGCGCCGGAGTGGCAGATGACACCAAACTCAGCACTCTGACATTAACAGCTGACAGGAGCTCAAGACGTGGGCGGCACACCAACCGGCCCTGGACTAAATTGGAAAAGTTCACATTCAATCCCAGTGACGTGACTTCCTTTTGTGGAAATTCACTTGTTAGTTACATTTTATTGTGTTTTAGAGGGTGAACCACATGAAACCTATCAAGAGCTTGTCCTTTGGGGATTCACTGCACCCCAAAATATTGTAAGAAAATGCATTAAGAAAATGAAGAATATTTTGGGATTATTAATATGCATGAGAATATCAGGACAAGTGCATATTTTTCTTAATGTCATTACTGTAAAAAAAAAAATGCTTTATTTTAATTATTTGCACATTATTTATGTATTTGTTGTACTTCCTTTAATTTAATTAGCTGATTTAAATAAAAGTTAATAACCACTGGGGGAAAAAGTAAAGCTTTCAGGCGCATTACAAATTTAGGGGGATTTTTATTTATTTGTTTATCTATTTTACCTAGTGGTGATATAATAGTGTCATAATGCAATATATAGATATAATAGTGTCATAATGCAAAATCTTACTGGATCTAAAATAGGCTATGATCTATCTATATGCATATGTATTTAGGTGAAATGCAACCTGGACATGTTTTTTTTTCTCTCTCATATTCCTGCTAGACAAAACTTTTTTAAAAGTTTAATAACTTGTAAGTCTCTTTTTTGAAAGTTTCCTGCTTTCTGTGGCCAATTAATAACTAGGAAGTGAGCATGTAATGAGCACTCAACCTGAGTCTTGTCACTCATTCAAGTTTGTCACTCTTTCTGTTCAATACAGATCATCAGTAAACCACATTCTGCCGATGCATCACTAAAAAGTCCAAAAATCACACAGAAAAGTTCAAATTACTTGAGGATGGAGAGGGCATGGAATCCAGCATTGCTCTCCACAAAGTACTTTCCAGAAGAAATATCCAAGATGACATCATCCTTGAACCTGTAGAATATTTATGATATAATAACAATAGATCCTCTTGGAGTTTCTCTATACATGATTACAAATATTATGAAATGTTAAAGTGAAACTGTATAACACCAGAGGAGATTTGAGAGCAACTGCACTGAACCCTAGCGAACAGGAAGCATCTCACCATTTGACTTGTGGGGTGGGATATCCCTCCACAGTGCAGAAAAGTTTAATAGCACTGTTTTCATACACTGTATGGGACCTCAGTCTAACCACAAACTTGGGGCCCCTGATCATGGACTCCTCACGGATGTATTTCTCAGGCATCTTCTTCTCCACCTGATGAAAGGAGACAAACAATTTATTGAGCTGTTGGATCATAAGAAGTGATCATGAAAAAATATACATCCCAAGATAGAGTCAGTCCTATTTAACCTTTGTTTCACTCGGTCTAATACAGGTAACAGCTAAAGTCTTTAAAGTACATTAAAATACAGGGTGACTAATGAAAGTACTGTAACAAAAGCATGTCAAGAAAAGGAATGGAATGATTGTTTAAAGGGCTTTACCACTCCCTGGATTCTCTTCTGTGTTTGGTATTGATATTTCACCTCTTCTGCCGCAGAGCTAAAAACACACACATTTCCATACACTCTCAAAAAAGGTACAAAACTGAGGCGGGACCCTAAGGTACGAAAGTTAAATTTTGTACCTCTAAAAGTACATATTACTACTTTAAAAATATGTTTTAGTGCCTAAAATATATACATATTAGTACCCTTTAAAAGGGTACCGCCTCAGTGACTCACTTTTGTACCTTTTTTCTAAAAGTGTATAATAAAATGATAATAGTATGCTCAAAGCATTACTCTATACAAGCGGCATGAGAGAAACATAGATCAGGATTCATCAATGCTCCATGTCATCTCAGGTTAACAATCAGTTAATTCATTTTGATATGCATTCAAACATGCAAAAGCATATCATAATTCATGCATTTCTCAAGCAACACAGTTTTAAGTGGAAAGAAAAAAAGAAAGAAAGCATTTGATCATATTTCCCCATTGTTCACATGAATTAGCAATTATAGGTTTTAACCTAAAATAAAAAAAAAAGAAAAGAATATTGACCTTTTGACCCCTCAGAGGGCAAACAATAACTACCACTATATATATATATATATAATTAATTTGGTAATAATACATTTATAATATAATATCATTTTAAAGTTTTTTATTTTAATGAACAAAAATAACTGTAATTACCATACCATGTTCTTATCCATAACCAATTTTAATGTCAAAGCTTATATTATATCTGAAATGTATTATTGTTTCCAGGCACAATCTGGGTATTTGGTGCAATATGTGTCCATAAAATATATATGATTGGTCAAGTTAAAGTATATACCTTAGCCCTGTAACTGATCACCATTTCTTTTCAGTTCTTCACCATTTTAATCACCTTCAGTTCAATTGAAATGGTCCTGCAGTGTGATAAATGTAGCCTGTGGTCTCTCTCACTAATATGAGGTCACATAAGCCGCATGCATAATTAGAAAAGAGTTTTACATGGAGTATAGCATATCACACTGCAGGCCTTGTCAACTTCCAACTACCCAGAGGACAGTTAGTGACATGAAGGGATCAGTTATAGTTCAGCTACTGTATTAGCAGAGCTCCAACAATGTTATTATATGTTATACATGATGTTACTATTTTATTACAAGTAGTTTTAGTATTGCCGTGAACATCATGATTAGCTGCGATGATTCGTTAAACTTGAACTTGCTGCTGTATATATTTTTTTACCTTACCTGGAGTATTCCCGAACAACATATTTAGACTCAGTACTGAGGTATTCTTGACCGAAATGCTTGTGTCTGGTAACAACTGCAGCCATATTTGGCAACCCCAAGAACCTATGAATAAAACCTGGAACAAAAAACATGAAGCGTCTTTGCACACAAGACAAAACAAAATGCATTAATTGAAAGATGCATAAATTCCAATGCTTAATTTCCAATTTCACTGTTTCACATTATTGGGGAAACAGTTTCGTAGCACAATTTGCAGAATTCGGCCTACTCCTGATATGATTTAGGTGTTAGGAAGGTGGACCTGTTTGTGGAGATGAAGAGGAGGGGGTGTTCTGGAGCTTTGGGCCTCGAGGAAGCCAAAACTCACGGCAGTTTAAAATTAGAGGTTGGGGGTTGGGATATCAGACAGTCCAAGGAGATGGGTACAGTATTCCATGTTAATTTCTACTGTACAGTGTACATTAATGACAAGCTATTATTGTGTAAATGTCCTGAAATATTGAAAGATAACCAACTACTCATGACTGTTTATCTTCTATTAATGATAAATGAACTACACTACAATACAAACAACAACACATTCCTCATTTCTTTTTGATGAATAATTACACAAACAAATAATCGTGCATTCTCAATGCAACATTATTATCTCATTCACATATGAAGCCCACATACAATAGCATCTACTGTGCATATTAAACATATATATATATATATATATATGCACAGATTCCATTAACATATTTGTCAGACGACATGTAAAAACTAACTGTTCGTTCTTTGCATACTGCATCAACAAGTGCGACAAATATTTCAAAGGTCATTTCATTCAGCAGGTCAATTTTACGAGACAATTTTTCCACAAACAAAACAGTGTAAAAGTTTGTCCAGTTATTAATTCCCCCATATTCACAAAGCACTGAAACTGGTTTAATAGCCAACTTTTTATGAATCCTTTCAAAGCGCCCAGTCAAGCAAACATCATTCGAGACAGATCAACATCCAACCAAGGTAAAGTTCAAAAGTTTCCTTCAGCCTCAACGATTTTGTATTTCCACAAGGACCACGCTGCATTATAATTTCGGATCAAAAGTGTGGAAATAAGGGGCCAGACATAGGCTACTCACCCCAGGAGAATACAAGAGCGCGACGCGGAGGTAGATGAGCCTCTGCCCGCCTGTGAGAGACCAGCTGATGAAAAGCAAAATATTACCCATGCGGAATGTTGCCTCTCCCGCATCCCATTTATGGACAGGCATTAGACTATATATAGCATTTACACCAACTTCCTACATCATTTCGCACTGATATTAAGATACCAGGCAGACGTTTAAATTGACGCTGGATACTGAATGAGTTATAAAAAAACAAGAGATAGGTGAGTCGAACGTAAATCATTAATAATTTTAAAAGTAAATACATTTATAATGCCAGAAATATTTTGTTGTACAGCAACAAATATGCCTCCTAAAGTCTCTAATGACAAATTGTATTAAGTTATTAAATGTAAGTTTTCAGAAAATCAAAAAGTGGCAATTCAGGAGAATCCCGTTCATACAACATTTACCAGAAGGAGCTGCAACAATAATGACATTAGATAAATTCCTGCTTGTGACATTTTTGCTTAATCTGCATAATCCACCTTCACGTGACATAAATTGCAGTTGATCACATGACTTGACAGCGCACGCGCAGTTGCGACGTCACAAGGTAAACAAGATCAATGCACAGAAGCCGCAGTGTGTCTCTGTCAGGAAAGGAAGTAGCTCTCTCAAGTGACTCTCGACCGCACAGTGTTTCGGAAAGATAGTGACTGGGCAGTCCTACTTTAAGACTTACACCCCAGACTAAAAAAAAACGTTTAAAACCAGTGCTCTCTCATATCAGTTGGACGTAAAAACTGTATGTAATTTGAACCGGCGTCATTTCAGACAATAACAGGTAACACGTCTTAACGTAAGTTTGTTCAAGGTTTTATTTATTTAACTTGTTTATTTATTTATCTACAGTATCTATCTCACATTTGAATATGTTACTTTTGGTCGCAACTTTGATATGCTCTATGCTATGACTTTGTCTTATAGAAGTTTTTTTCTTCTTCTTTTTACAGTGTAGGCTACGTTGATAATAAATTATCTTTTGTCCTCGGTAAGATGAACGTACTTCCATCTGGAAGAATGAGATTCATTGCAGTTGCTGTCATACTTTGTGCTGGATTTTTCTGGCCAACAGCCTTTGCCCATCCTCTGTATGTCACGCAAATACATTTAGATAAATATATTTATACATATTGATAAAACTGTAAGTTTGGGTGCAGTCGGACAATCAATATTGTACTAATCCTGTTTGTATTTTCCCTTCTTTATTGAACAAGATACACTTTAGGTTACAGAGTAAACATTATATACAATACAAGACGTTTGAAAGGGTAAACAATTTATACATATGCAGACTTTTTTAATGACTTTTTACAGCAATGATAACAGAACACACTAACAGTTCTTGGTACAATTCCCGATTAATTCAGGTATTTTTGTTCAACTAGAAAAAAAAACCGGCTCATGAGTTAGGAATCTTGTCTACACGAGTCATGCTGACACAAATGTCATGAAAATCATTGTTCTTTCCCAGTACTTTTTTGAGGAAATGTTCTAAAAACATGTTTGCGGATTGCATGTGAAATATTTGCACAACATTATGACTGTAATAATAATACTCATTTTATTTTAAACATTATGGTAGTATTTGTTGTACTGTTTTAAATTATTTGATTTGATTTATGACATTTAAATAATACAACCACTAATAAACATTGCATCACAGTATTCATTATTGTAAACCAATAAAAAGTACGATAATGAAAATCTAAATCTATTGAGAAATACTATTCAGAATAATAGAAAACACAAAATGAGAATTTGGTGCATTACAGCTAAAATAATTTGGTTAATGAACTATTTGCATGCCCACTTTTAATACGCATTTGCTACTGTGACCACATTTTCTGCATAGGCACATACAAATGAAGCCGTTTTTAGATTCCATGTTTTGTGCAAAATATTTGTCAGATTGCAATTGTCACCCTGAAGTCACAAATAGTGAATCGACTGCTTCTTTTAGGGGAGAATGGACAAAACTCATCCTGACCCAGCATTGGCCACAGACATTTTGCAGTGTATTGTATTGCATTTACTTTCTATTGTTTTATTGCCATTACTGCAGGTGCACCACATATTGCTCCTCCACTGGGTATCAGGAGATAAATTATGTTGTTTTTCATTTATAGGTGGAAAAATGTACAACAAATTTAAGCTTTTGGACTCTGCATGGATTATGGTAGGTTTATGATCAGTGACTATATAGTCAAATTGTTTTATTGCAATGCATACTGAATTAAAAAGAAGGGGAAAAAACTGATTAAAGAGTATAGATTTGTAATATCAGCCATCATATTGGCTAAATATCTGGGCCCGTATTCACAAAACATCTTAAGGCTAAAAGTAGCTCATAACTTGCCGATTTAGGAGAAAATCGTAAAAAATTATGGGCGTGTCAGTCCTAAATTTAGGACTCCTAAATATTTGTTCTAAGAGTATTTCACAAAGCGTTTTAGCGCTAAAATGATCTCCTAATCTGTGAAACGTTAGGAGTAGTGACTCCTAAGTCAAGTATCGGCTTTGGTTTGGAGGTTATCCCAACTCCAAATTTTTGATTAGCCTATATCCTTAATATTCTCGCGTCCAGTTTGGTTTTCTTTTATGTTTGCATGTCTTACTATCAGCCATGATTATTCTACTCTGCTAATTAAAAGGCTGTTTATATGCATATTACCTAAATTGTATTAGTCGCTTAGTTGCAGAAAAAAAAATCCACATGAAGTGGCGAAATCATGCATGCAGTCCGTGACGGACAAATCGTTAACGGCTGGTCTTTGTGGTACGTAACAATAAATTATTAAAACGTTACTGCAGTGTAGCCTACTTCCTGTTTTTCCCTAACACATTCATAATTACTATATTTGCCGGTGCGCTGTGCAAGCCTTTTTTGCATGCGCTTGAGCGCTTATTAAGCTATGTAGGCAATTAAAGGCTCATTATTATGATTTATACGGTTTATTAATAAAAGTGCGTGAACAGCACGCTTGGGCTACTGCATGGCAGATGGAGGCGCCGGTGCGATCATTGGCTCTTAAAATACTTCGACTTCGAAACTCTGTGTATGCTTGCCTTATTACAGACATGAAAAATATATCTATAGAGAGTGAAACTTTTAAATGAACCAATTCAAATAGAAAACAAACTTTCTCAGATTATGTCATCCGTATGAAACCTGCAAGCACATACTGCGGAGATGACGAGTCAGTGTCGCCGACTTCATCTCTTAAACCGAAAACAGAAAGCACTAGTGTAACAATAATTTATTAAAACGTTAATGCAGTGAAAATAAAAAATTTTATTGCGCGATTCTGAAATAGTTTGCGATAATGACAGCTGTTTACATAGCTTCTCATTGAACTACGGCTCTGTGAAGTAAATGCTGCTCCATCTGAAAGCATGTGAAAATACCACGTTTAATAAAATATTTTTACTCCAAACTCACTTCATAACGTCAGTCGAGTGTTTGAAATAAATCCTTCAGTCGTGTGTTTATTAGTCACGTTGAATCAATGAAAGCAGTTGAATCTTCTGTTTATTCAGCTGCAGCGATAGGCATTTTCTGGGTTTCTTCTGCGAGGCGTATTTGGAGTTTCAGAGCGAGAGCACCCTCTGGCCTTTGGATGGAGATTTACTGCTGATCACAGAACCGTGCTTCACTGAAAGATACGCATGACAATCGCAGCTTCTGTCGAATCGCGATCTCGATTCCATTTCGATTTATCGTGCAGCCCTAATGCTGACATTATCCATAGCAACAAGGTCAACCCCGCCCTTACTCTTAGCTTAAGACTTCTCTCTATTACTTAGTAAAACTTTGTCTCAGCAGCTTTGTGAATAGGTTTTAAGAGAAAACTCTTAACTAAAAACTTTTACTGCTATTTAGGAGAACTCTTAGTGGTAAGATCAAATGTTTTGTGAATACGGGCCCTGAAGTAATAATTAAAGCCGACGACTTCAGGAAGACCTTTTCCGCAATCACTTAACTAATCCACAACCATAAACAAAAACATTTCCTATAACCAAAAAGCTACTATACTATACTAATATAGCTTAAACTTTAAACTTGACATGCAATATTGTTGACTCCTATGATAAATGATGTTTGGATAAAAAGGTCTGCCGAATGAATGCATAATACATTTTCCCCACATGTTTATATTGGTGCAACCCTGGTTGTCATGTGATCTGAATAATCATCGGATAATGATGAAAAATGCCAGTGATTGTAAGGATGATTATAGTTTGTGTCAGTAGAAATGTTTGTTGTTTTTGCAGGCCCAACTCTGGCATGAGGTGCAATACATCCTGGCACTTTAATGCCAGTTTGATTGAGGTAATTTACTTGCCTTGCTCACCTTGTTGAATGTCATATATTTTAGTTCAGTGGACATGTGCTTGACATGTGTGCGTGTTTTTCAGGACTTAATACCGGAGATGAAAAAATATTGGCCAGATCTGAGAGCACCTTCCTCCCCCCAATTTTGGTGTGTTTAAAAACTTGCAAATGTACTTTTTATTTATTTATTAAAGTAAATAATGGACTTTTTATTGTGTGTTTTTTTGCTTAGGAAATATGAATGGACAAAACATGGAACCTGTGCTGCAAAAGCAGAGTCTCTGAACAGTCAACATAAATACTTCAGCAAAGCTCTTGAGCTGTACCACAAGTTTAACCTTACTAAGTAAGTCCTTGTTTTTCAGTAGTTCTTATAAAACCTGATTTTGTGGCTTAGGAATTTGTGAGATGGATACAAAGCAAAATATGAGAGTATTTATAAATGACAACGCTTTCATCACACACAGACATTATGTAACACTTCAGTTAAAAATAGGGCTGGGTATCGTTCAAAATTTTTCGATATCGATACCTTGACTTCGATACCGGTTCCTGAACGATACTTTTTTCGATACCAATTTTATGAAATCAATTTTAACAAGATTACATTATCTAAAAAAAAAACTTTGGTTTTATTTTTCAGCTTGTTGATGTTTATACAAACTCAAAGACTCATCTCCTGAGCCACTGCACAAAGGAACAAAATGTAACCAACACAAATCATATAGTTTATATAGTTTCAATAAAGCTCAAATAGTCTTCAGTTTACACATCGGTTAGCTACATTTACACTAGTGCGCGTGACAGAATCACCTAGCTCAGACAGAATCGTCATTTCTATTAATTTTCCACTGATTTACTGATGAGCATTAGCAGCTTCCAGCGCTGTCTGCTTGTGTTCTCTCTTCCATGATCGCTGCTCTGACTCAGAGGTAATAACATATTTAATTTCAGCAACATTACATGGCCAAAACACACACGGCAATCGGAAGTTATTACAAAAACTTGATGGTGGTTTAAAGTGAGTTTTGAGTAAAAGCGGAATATAAATCTTATTTATTGTCTTATGTAGCATGATGCTACAGTTTGCATGAATGGTCACATAACACACGCTTTCGGTCGTGTAA